AATGATGTTAGTGTACTGAAATACGGAGTGTTGTTAGTGTACTGATATTCTGAATGTTGTTAGTGTACTAAAATACTGAATGTTGTTAGTATACTGAAATACTGAGTGTTCTAAGTGTACGGAAATACTGAATGTTGTTGGAGTACAGAGATACTGAGTGTTTGGTTGTACTTGAATACTGAGTGTTGTAAGGGTACTGAAATACTGAATGCTCTTAGTGTACTGAAATTCTGAACGTTGTTAGTGTACTGAAATGCTGAATGGTGTTAGTGTACTGAAATACCGAATGTTGTTAATGTACTGAAATACTGTGGGTTGTCAGTGTACTGAAATACTGATTGTTGTTAGTGTACTGAAAGTCTGAATGTTGTTAGTGTACTGCAATACTGAATGTTGTTAGTGTAGTGAAATACTGAGCGTTGTTAGTATACTGAAATACTGAGTGTTCTACGTGTACTGAAATACTGAATCTTGTTAATGTACTGAAATACCGAGTGTCGTTGGTGTACAGAGAAATACTGAATTTTATTAATGTACTGAAATACCGAGTGTCGTTGGTGTACAGACAAATACTGAGTGTTGTTAGTGTACTTAAATACTGAGTGTTGTTAGTGTACTTAAATACTGAGTGTTGTTAGTGTACTGATATTCTGAATGTTGTTAGTGTACGGAAATACTGAATGTTGTTAATGTACTGAAATACCGAGTGTCGTTGGTGTACAGAGAAATACTGAATGTTATTAATGTATTGAAATACCGAGTGTCGTTGGTGTCCAGAGAAATACTGAGTGTTGTTAGCGTACTGAAATACTGAGTGTTGTTAGTGTACCGAAATTCTGAATGTTGTTAGCGTACTGAAATACTGAATGTTATTAATGTATTGAAATACCGAGTGTCGTTGGTGTACAGAGAAATACTGAATGTTATTAATGTACTGAAATACCGAGTGTCGTTGGTGTACAGAGAAATACTGAGTGTTGTTAGTGTACTGAAATACTGAGTGTTGTTAGTGTACTGAAATTCTGAATGTTGTTAGTGTACTGAAATTCTGAATGTTGTTAGTGTACTGAAATACTGAATGTTGTTAATGTACTGAAATACTGAGTGTTTTCATTGTACTGAAATACTGAATGTTGATAGTGTACTGAAATACTGTGTGTAGTTAGTGTACAGAACACTGTGTGTTGTTAGTGTAGTGAAATACTGAGCGTTGTTAGTATACTGAAATACTGAGTGTTGTTAGTGTACAGAAATACTGAGTGTTGTTAGTGTACTGAATTTCTGAATGTCGTTAGTGTACTGAAATTCTGAATGTTGTTAGTGTACTGAAATACTGAGTGTTGCTAGTGTACTGAACACTGTGTGTTGTAAGTGTACTGAAAATACACTTTGTCATTGGCAAGTACTGTACTGCGATTCGCTAATGATCTGAATATCTGGAGTACTAAAATACTGAATTAGGTTAGCGTACTGAAATATTTTCTGCACTGTATAACGCAAGGGTGAATTTCAAGCACAAATTAAGGTAGTTGAATCGGGTGAAGACTAATTGAGAGGAACGCGTTGCAAAAAAAAAGGTATCTTGTTATGATGAACGTAATGTTTGATCATGATGAATCAGAAGAAAGTCGTTCCAAGTCGTTTAACGTAGGCATTGAGAGGTGTAAACCATGGCCTAATATCCCGTGGCTATCAGGACAGGACTCCGCCTGTTCTCAATTTACTCAAATGGTCGATGGACACAACATGTACACTCCTTTAAATACCACGATCCTATCAATGTTTTAATTGGCGTTAGATAAAATTCTAAGTGTTGACATCTGTTATTGAGAGAAAGGTATGTTATTGAGCTCGATTCAATTACAGGCGTACTATGGCGACCTGTAAGGTGTATGTGATGTCGGTGTTTTGTCCGGGAACGTTGTAATCAAATTGTCGTTTACAACCGCTTAACCTATCCTTCTCAAATCTAATGCATACATATTGGTCAACTGAAATTTTGTTTACCAAATTTAGATAAAAGATATTCGAGACTAGTCAGTAGTAGCGTACATGAAAAACTTCAATATTAACATTTACATTTTATTTCAGTTTTAAAGAATGGAATCTTACGTTCGTACGTACGTTCGTGTTCTGGACCTGTTATGGTATACCTTTGTTTTCTACTTACAATTCACAAGATATGTATGTTTGTAAATAAATCATGCTTGTGATATTGTATTAGTTATCCGCATGAGATACAATCAGTATTGGATCAATCTACCAGCAAGAAACCGGCTGTTCTCTCATATGTAGACTGGCCCCCGTCTCTAAAATATTGAATTATTAAGAAAACAAAGTAACAGTTTGATCACTTGAATGTATGATTCTAGAGAATCTAAGTTCTAAACTAGGGGGAGATAAGCTAGAAGTAAAATGCAGTTGAGAAATTCTTCATAAAAACTTAGGGGCTGATAACCAGTCGACCTCAGATAGTACAGATGAGACCCTGAGATCTTGGCTTTTACACAGGAATCTTAGATCTTTTTGTTTTGTTCACACAAGGTCTCTAGTCCTCTAGTTTACCTGTGGCCCTCAAACGCGTTTTGCATTCTTATTTTTCTGGAGTCTTAAACATTGGCTTTTCAAATTTACTGTAAACATATTTATCTGTGAAGTTTGATATTTATAGGTTTTTATCTATGACATTATGATATCCTCAAGAAAAGGTGGTCATGTCAGTGGATCTTATCGGGAAAACAAAAACAAAAAGCAGGCCAAGGACAAAAGCAACAGTGACGTGCACGTATGTGATGTCAAATGAACTCGGTTTGGTATTACAATATGTTATGTATAGATGGATAGGTTCATTGTGTACCAAAATAAATTCAGGGAATGGTTAGAGAATTAACATTGTTATAAAGTAAAAAATAAATCATAAACTGTATGTGTTAATATTTCTTTAAATTAATGAAAACAGATGAGTAATCGTTTCATGTGAAAAACATGTTTCATGAAAAACACCGATTAGGGTATTTCCTTCAGCTCACGCAAGTCACGTTTTCACGTCATAAATCTATCATTATTTCAATGATACTGGTCTTGCTACTGGACATTATAAAGACATCGTAGTAACGTTATAATAATGCTCGAGTTACATATCCATCCTCCGATGTCAGCATATATTTAGGATGGCCATGATGGATTCATTATTTTAGATCTATAGATACTTGTTTCCCACACTTCACACGCGTAATTACATTTTTACGAGGGAAACTACTTATTTGTCTTTACCAACCTATGGAAAGGCAGCTCACATTCACTTTTGTTTTAAAAACGTCACCATCGCGTCATATCTTTATGCAATGTGACCAAGGTAGCGTCATCAATTGTCCGTCATATATTGCATGTGCCCTTGACGATGGCACAGTGAGTGATTTGGTTCTAGGCGTTTCATGTTATTGTTACGATAGAAAAGTGTTGGGGAACAATAAACAATCACGTCTGTATGATAGAAGACTCAACCCTCGGGATGCGACTTTGAAGTAAGGAATTCAGCAAAGCCTTGTACTCAACTTCAATAATCTAACATTTGAGTCTCCAAATCTTCATTGGAGTATCTCCCGTTTTAGAACCTAGGTTAGACAACCAAACAATCATCCCTTGGGTTCAAGATTTCTCTGTCACACACTCAAGATAGAGGATGATTCTATTACTCAAAGTTATACACCAGGTACAGTATACACAGTAAAGACTCAGTAATTATATGTGATGTCTGCACAATGTAGCAGCTTCCAACTTATGTCAATTTTGAACCGATATTAATTTCGGCCAAGAACATCACAATTCGTGAAGGACCGTATCATTGTCTACTAAAACCACATTCACCAGAAATGCCAGAATCCTGTAGAATTCATGATTGACAACATAACAGCGGCCAGTCTGAGGATTTGATTCTGTATGACTGCCGTGCTCTTTGTAGATTCTGAGTACTGAGATAAGAGCATGACTGTCGTTAACACTTTCTGCGGATAGATAATCTGTTAACAGATAAATATGCACCTTTCAAAGGGAAATAACTACGAGATGGTTTGCACATGTATAGTTTAGCTATGTATAAGGTAAATTATGAAATCTCCTTCTGTAAAACTTTCAAGTAAAAGGACGTATTGGTAGAGAAAAATTTTAACTTATAACTATGATTTAATATATAGAATAAGTTGAGATAACGTAACAGACTACATTTACCGTCATATCTCATGACCACCAAATTCTATGTCAAAACACTTGTCATCTATCTTAAGGCGATTATAATTTTAACGGAAAAACACTATGTATGAATACTGTTGATCCGAGGAAAATCTTACTGTATCATTGATAAATGATTTGGCAAATGCGAACTCCTAGCATTTTTCCTCAGAAAGATATTCCCTGAAGTAAGATATGTTATTGTCGATATTCACATTGCACTAAAAGTGATGTAACTTTAATATTTTGCATTCCATCGTAGACAGATATTAACAAAATTATTACAGAAATAAGTCATTTTAAGTGATGACTAGTACTTATTCCTCAAAGAATTCCGCGTAGATTGTATAACATTATGCATGAAACATAGACACAAAACGGGTATTGGTGCAATCGAATGTTTTGTTGTTGTCAACGTAAACAGGTTTGATTGTAATACTACTGTTAAGGTAGGGTTACTTTAATACGGTCAGGACTCCTACGCATGAACTGGTAGCCGTAGGTCACTCAGGCATGACTATCTTGGCCGCCCGAGTCCAGCTTTCACGCTGGTGGTCATCGCACAATCTCTACCTCAGTATTGTTTTAAGGCAGGCTCTCCACCGTAAGGATTAAGACAGGTTTATTGGTATTTGTGATCTGATATCAATGCTTACCTTTATGACACTAAACCCAACTGCCCCTGCAGACCTGTGTCACAACATGTAAACAACTGGTACAGTATTAAAACTAACATACACACAAAACTAAGAACATAAACGGAGGAAAATGTGAGAGAGTGATACATGGGATGTAAATGTAACATCATCAGAACATACGATTTAGATTTCTGTTAGTTCACCATTAGTTTTGGATTAACACGATACAACATGAACTTTAATCGATGCTTTCTGTTGTTACTGTCTATGCACGTGTCACTGGGTAAGGCTACCACCGAGACGCTACCCGTGTGTGTCGGTGACACCGCCAGCTACGTCACGGACGCTGGCTGTAAGAAGGTGTGGCGCTGTGTTGGGGGACGGTTGTCCAATGAGCCAGTGTTTACATGCGGCCAAAACCTGGTCTTCAGCAAGGCACTGGACATGTGTGTTTGGCAGGGAAATGAGCATGACGACTGTTCATCATCCAGAATAGCTCTGGACAAACGTAAGGCCAACACAATTATACTGTAGCAATAAAGATAGGTTGTATTTCACCCAGAATTAACGAACCTATTCAATAAAACAACTGGACATGCTTGTGCTTCGCCACAGGGATAATTAGAATATCCATTGTTTCTTCAAGGTGACCAGTTATTCTATAATTGGGTGTTTTTAATGTTTAAGAGTTCGGATTATTCATTCCTAATTATTACTGTAAATATGTTGTTTTTTGTTGTCTTTTTTAAATTTTACCAAGGTAACTAACTTTTCACAGAACAGCTGAAAAAAGACAAAATATTATTGATTTTATCAAATATGTAAACGAAGAGATAAATAATAATAAAGGGACACATCAGTATCCTCTCACATTGCGACATATAGAACTTTGTATTGAATGATCTGAAAACTGTTTATATCACTGTATTATGATTCACCAGGAAAGTAAGGCAAAAATAGCATGTGTTTCAGGTATTCCGATCTACCCTATATTTTCCTGCTGACTTGAGAAATTACCTTGTGTCGAAGATAAAAATTACGAAATAAATAATTTGCATACTGACCTGCAAAAAACACATTTGTTTTTTGGGACTATTAAAATTGATAAGGCATAATTCATTGATGCATATGTTCATAGACATTCTCTGTGTTTCGTAGCATCAGTCACGCCAGATCATGCTGTACGCGTTACGTGTGTTGATGGTCAGTCTGCTGTTCCTCACGAATCGGACTGTCAATTGTACTATGACTGCGCCATTCAAAATACCACTAATCACACAGGGATAGAACCTGACGATGGCGTCCTCCGGGAATGTGAATATCCGAAGCTCTTTTCTAATGTCACCAAACAGTGCGAAAGCTTTTTGAACGTGGCCTGCGGTAACAGACGGGAACCTGTTGATACGTGTGAGTAATGCGATTGGCCACGATAAAGTTTACGGTGATCGGGAAGGAGTTGTAGTTTTGTCATCATGTTATTTAAATCTGAGTTGTTGCCTTACTGCACTGTTCTTAGACTGTTTTCCTTGTTTAAGGGCGATTCGGAGGTGATATGTATAGGCAGACGGTGTGTTTCATAATTAATGGAAAATGTTTTCCTGATTCGCGACAATAGTGTTAACAGACACAGTGTAAAACAATTGAAGAAGCAATATACATCATGTCGTCCTCAAATAATAATCAAAATGGCGGTGTCATTTATATAGATTTGATGTTTTCGTATTTATGTAGGTGACTACCAGAGAAGCAGCGAATGTCATTCCTCAGAGATTTGCTCGACGTGCGCTGAGCGATATCCAAGTTGTAAAGGACAACCCAACGGCCCTCATGCTGACGTCACTACATTCAACCGCTCGAATTTTATAGTGTGTTTCAACGATCGACTAGTGGCCAGGGAAAACTGTGAAAACGACAGATTTGGAGAGAGAATGATTTTCTACGAGAATGGGGGACTAGGGACAAGTGGTTCATGTTGGAGTGTTCACGACATCCCACATAACGATGGCGGCCTTCTCCCAAACTGTCCTAAGGGAGTTTTCTTCAAGGTGTTTCCAGATGAAGGAGGGGCATGCGACAGATTCTATGAGTGCATGTATGGCATGGCGTTCGTCAGACGTTGTCCAGGAAGTCTCGTGTACGACTCTCAAGCCGGTGTTTGCAGTACCAGGGAATATGTTTGCACTCCTTGTGGAATGCGAATCTGGTAAATCGATCTATTCATTACTTCCATTCAGTAACTTATATCACGTGCTATGTCATCTACCTTAACATGTTTATCGTATCTTATAAACCTCCAAGTACAGACTGTATAAACACAATATTCAGTATAATTTTACTTTTAACACGTATAAGAAGGTAATGAGTGGGAGACAGTGAGATCATTAAAAGCTGAAGTAGAACTACTTTGCCATAGTAACAACACTCAAGAACACATTCAGAGGTCAAAGTCGATACACGACAACTTGAACCCCTGCCATTAATTGCATGTATGGGAATATCAGAAGCATCCTTTGTTTGTTTATTTCGAAATTACGACAGCCCTTGCTTTCCTCGGTATCGTCTTAAGACATGAAAAGTATTGCCATGTTTTGTCCGTGACGTCGATCGATATTATATGACGTTAAAAATAATGAGTTTAAAATAAGGCACCGTATTCGAAACTGATATCAAATGGATAATGTCGTGTATGGGCATATACGCGGTAACATGTGCTATCGTTTGACTATCATGGCCAAGAGCTTTGCCAAAGATGTGATGAGTATTGATATTGCTTTGATGGTCAAGAATCAGTATCATGAGAGTAACGTATATATCTTTTTAAACCAAATTATAAGGATACATGAAGTATCCATCAGCCAAGAAAGTATAAAACCTTTTTCATATCACATATATTTAAGGAATGATTTTTATTTTTTCAACATTTATGAGGTCATAACAACAATGGGTTTATGGACATATTGAATGAATCGCGTTAGCGATTCATGTAAAATATGTCCAAAAACCCATTGTTGTTATGACCTCATAAATGTTGAAAAAATAAATATCATTCCTTATATTTACATTGACGAATCCTTTCAGTGGATCGATATAACAACGAATAAAACAAATAAACAGGGTTTGTTCCTGCTTATACACGGGTGCAACGCAGTGGCGAGAACAGTGTTTTTTCGCGGGGAAATGTGACACTATCGTGAGAGATCTTAGCAACCGTCAACAACAATAACACAACAAAATGTAGTTCCATATTCAATGTTTATTTGTAGCACAGGACACGTGAATACGTGGATATTTCACAAAGCACAGTTCAATAATATTTTAAGATGTAAGAATTAAGCATCTAGGTCGGTCGTTACGAGTGAGTAGTTTTTGTAGTGTATTACTACGCAGTGTGATCAGGTTACTATCAGTTCCCACGTGCTGAGATTCTATGAACACCGGTGTTATGATTTTATGAATGTAATTTTTGTCAATGGGTCTAAGCATACAGAATGTAAATATTGAGATATCAATATTTATGTAATGTATGTAAATACAGGTTTCGAAGTCATTTGCGATGAATTGATAGATTTTTCTTTTGTTTCAGCGACGTGTAACAACATGGGGAGAGAACGATAACACATCTCCGGTTTACTAAAATTGGATCGCCCAAACCTGCGGATTTCGAATACAGTTTAGTCAATATCCCAACGTGTCATCTTAAATAGTGATTTCGCTCCAAAGATAATGACTGAGTTCCAAATCAGTGTCAAGTCAGACGTTAAATTATATATATATATATAAAATAAAAGACAAGAGTTTCTTTGACTTCCCTGGCGCTTTCTCCTCTTCAGAGGTTCATCAGGGGGGAAATTACAATGATACATGAGGTATCCATCAGTCAAGAAAATATATAACAATTTGCATGTCGTATATATTGAGATGACTGCATCGCTCAAACCTGCGGATTCCGAATACATAGATGAAATAACTGTCTTTTTTTTTAATTTAACGTCTTGATATATATATTCATACTGGATTGTACGAAATAAACCAGCAGTAACCAGCTATATTCCTATGATCCTCTATCCACAGTGGCATATGATTTACTCAACGCGTCTTTATCCTGGTGTCCGTGTGAGCCCATATATAAACTATCAAAGAGTGAAAGAAGGCTCTAGTTAATTTTCGGTATCATTAGGCATTATGGACATAAATAAAATGAAATGCATTAAATCAGTATATATTAGACAAACAGTATATTATGTTTGGCGAAAAGAAAGATAGGGGAAGTAAGAAACGAAATAAGAAATCACTAGTGTTGCAATTGGGCAGCAGACCAACTCTAGATTTTCCTACGTGCCCTTAGCGAAAGACACAGCAGAAAGCCTCCGAATCTGTAGGGGCCGGCATAGGTTGCCTATAATAACATGCAGAAAGAAAAACTAGGTCCATTCTTTCCTCGCACCTGCATGGCATTACTATTAAAGAAGAGTTTTTCGCGTGTGGAAATATTCCCGTTTTTACCCTTTAAACCGTTCGTGGTATGGAAAGTTTTGTATTGGCAATAATTCTGAAATCGAAGATAATGAATATTTAAGTGTTGATATTTTTGCGCTAATTTAGTCACTGCGAAAACAGCAAAAATGTCCATACCGCGATCATTTCCATGTAGTTAATGCCATACTTCGATCAAGATATCTCGGAAGTTTCTTATAAACCTTAAATTGAGTTTTGTATAAATTCACATTAAAATAAAACCCGTCACCTATACAAAAATAAGTATTCACGAACTTGGCAAATACGACAAAAGACACTTAAGTAACCGAGGCGAAATCAAATTAAAAGGACATCATGATTTACATGTAGAAAGGTAAGCGTTTTCTGCACGCACACGAGATGTGGTATTTATCATAATGTCTCTTTTCAATTCAAGAAAAGTGCCTGTCAAATAAGGACCAGAAACAAACCTGAAAATTCAGTTAAAAACTTTATTTTGCTCTCTGTTTCAATGAAGCTATGGTTGTTTTGATAACATTAGACAGTTGTCATCAATATTGAAGCAAACGTAATATACAATCAGCAATAATTAAATATGCTCTTGTAAGAATATACACGTAACTCGGTTAATGTAATAATGCCACACAAATAAAGAGGAAATATTGTACCCTTAATTTCACCGTAAAAATAACTTTCTTTGGCTTTACAACACACGTTCATAACTTGAACCAATAAAAAGCATTAAAACGGTTTTTTTTTTGTAGATTAATTAAAATGAACACAAGAAAATCTGGTGAACTGATTAATAACGAAAACGAAAAACTCATTGCAGACCACGCAATCAAGATACCAATAAGTCAGTGTCTTATAATTAACTTGCGTACCTTAAATGGTTCAACATACGATTAAGTACAAGACTTGACACATGACGTAAATAGTTAGTATACATGCATACATAATACATAGTCTCACCACAGACATATTGGCACTTGATTAATGTAGAACATTATTTGTATAACTATTTACTTCGTATTATAATTCGAATACAATTTACGTTCTCAAACTAACGATAATGTTGTCTAACTTGCTAACATTTCATTATCGTGTAATGGTGTTGTTTCAATTTAAAATAACGTACTGCATTTATAAGTGATTATAGTTTTTCCGAAACGAACACATTGTATAAGGTTATTAAACCATTAAAAGTATAAAAGTATAACATTCCTGGCAGCTGTTGTCGTACATCCTGGGAGCTCTGAAAGAAACGCTACCTAGAGTTATTCCCCTTGTTCCCTTACCGTATGCAGAATATTTTCAATTTAAAATAACGTACTGCATTTATAAGTGATGTATAGTTTTTCCGAAACGAACACATTGTATAAGGTTATCAAACCATTAAAAGTATAAAAGTATAACATTCCTGGCAGCTGTTGTCGTACATCCTGGGAGCTCTGAAGGAAACGCTACCTAGAGTTATTCCCCTTGTTCCCTTACCGTATGCAGAATCTCTAGCATCAGATCAGGAATCGCTATTGAACAGGTCTATCCTTCCAATAGGTCACCTCTGGCAGTTGTTTAACCCAGTCTCTACTTACAATGATAATGTATGTAAAACTTACATAACTATCATTTTTCTTCAATATATCCTTATAGAGCAATAATATATATACCTCAGAAAAATACATATGTTGTATAGTATTTATGATTTGCAGAACGTTAATTAACATAATAAGTAGCGGATTCACCAAGCAATGCATTATCAATGATTACGTTAATAATAGATAGACGGTTATACACATTAATTCCTAAATACACTACGTGTTTATTAAAGGGGATTTCTAGATGAAATGACATGCATTATATATACTCTATAGATGATTACGGGTCGCATCAATAGACTATAGAGGGAGAACGCATGTCGCCATATGTACCTCCTGACTAATAAAAATAAATAAATCTGACAACTTAAATAACTAGGTGCATAGTGCATAATAATGTGAACCACATATATCAGTTATAGTAAAGTGTATAATAACACTTTGATATTATATTCCAGTCGTGCCAAGGTTTTAGTAACACAGTTGTTAGCTTAATATGTTACTAACACGTAAGATATACAAAAAGGTAAGTATAGTTAGTTGTATAAGTTATCCGTGTATCAACTAGAAGCACATGGAAGGCATTTGATGTAGGTATTAAAGTAACAGTAGAATGTTACATTATTAAGTACCAGACTTGTTTGTATTCTCGACAGTTGCTCCCGAGTATCGATATAAAGTTTTATAGCATTTTGATTATCGACCTTTAATGTGATGCTGTCACATTTACACAAGCTTCTGTGTTTGAATAATTCTCAAAATGAATTGTGGTAACATTTCTATAAATCATTTTTACAATATCATTTAGTTGTCTGATCTGAATGCAGGAACAGATATGAAAGAACCATATTATCTATAATTTTACTTACATTTTGGCCTTTTCAAAATTATCTGTTTCACGTTAAAGGTGAAAGTAGACATACAAGTAGCGATTCATTATAATATATATATATATATAATGTAAAGAAATTATTTTATTTCTATTCATATAGCTCAATATAATCTGCACATATGTTTACAGCGTACTGCCCATTGAAATGTCATGCTAGCTCCTTGGACGATGAAGATGGCCAAGAGAAGGTCATTTGAACAGTATTTCTAGATACATTTGGCTTAAAATTATTGTCATGTACACAACGCTGACAAGGCTAAATCACATGGTCATGCATTGAAAGTAAAGCATTCTCTACTAGTTTTAGCAAAGTGTTGAGTTAACTTTATATAAAAAATATTACTGTTTTACTCCTATGGCAGGAATAGTGACTCCATCTTGAAATCCAATAACTGCGAGACACCGAACTTAAAACTTATAAAACGGACGTTGGATCTCCCACTCCCAGTATCTAATACAGCAAAGTACAAGTGAAATAAAACACTATACCACAGCATTACATATTCTGTCTTTGCGTATTGCAGAGTTATCTTCTCTTGGGAACAGGTATTGATTGTTACGTCATTGGTTTGTGCGAGAAAATTACGTCGTTTTCTCAAAAATTGATGATGTTTCTCTCACAAACAAGTGACGTAACAATCAATACCTGCTCCAAAGAGAAGATAACTCTGCAATACGCAAAGACGGAATAGGGCCTAACTCTTCACAGAAACATCAACCCGAAACACGAGTACACCGTTCTGTTATATATTATCAGTGTGAGTTAAGCACTGAACTATTTTTTAACAACTAATGGTACAAAATATCACACATGTTATTTCAATTTACAGTACAGTAATCTAAAGATTACATTTTCAGCGTGAGGCACATATTAGGCAGCTAAATTCTAAGTTATTCTGAAAGATAAATGCAGCACGAAAATGAATGGTTAATAAGCTACAACTCTATATATTACACTGGTGATCTATAGAATAAGTGCATAGTAAATAAAATATATGGTATATGAAATCGTCATGTTATTCAACCTTTACAAACAGCACTCCCTTTTATTGAGATTTTGTTTTCACATGATCTATTTTCTTGCGGGAACATTTTTCATGCTTGTTGCAATTTCAAGCAAACTAAGATTAATAATATTCCTAGTCATTGAATAACTTCATATAACATTACCTGATGACAATATTTCCGCGTGTCAAATAAACATATTAAATCAAATTCATGCAGGATCCACTGGTTCGTGGGTGGGGAGTGGGGAGTGGGGATGTACATGTACTACTGTAGAGAGGAAAACATTCGCCTAGTCAAACTTCCCTCTTTATTTGTAGTATCCGGTTTTTTACGCCATGTTAACTTCCCCCTTTACATGTTATTATTATGTATAGCTTGCTGGGTATATATTTTAACTGCGTGATATTGTTTTCCTCATAAAGGAGAACGAAAAATGTCAGGATTGAACTGAGGCGAAAATTGTCGATATACAGTATACTTACAGCTATAAAACAGAAAATCAAAAATTGTCTGCTATACAGTACTTACAGCTACAAAACAGAAAATCAAAAATTGTCTGCTATACAGTACTTACAGTTAAAAGACAAAAAATCAAAAATTGTCTGATATACAGTACTTATAGTTAAAAAACAGAGAATCAAAAATTGTCCGTTATACAGTACTTACAGCTTTAAAACAGAGAATCAAAAATTGGTTTGTAGAAAAACACATAACTTTTTACATCATTTCTTGCATTGAATCAAATATATCATCTTTTCTTCACAAGTAATAGGATAGTTATACGTCGAAGGCAATTAGTGGTACATTCAACTCAAACAGGCTTTATAATCTGACCTCGTTGAATCAAGTGTCATGTTGTTGAACTCCATTAAAGGACTTTATAGTCTGACCTCGTTGAATCAAGTGTCATGTTGTTGAACTCCATTAAAAGAGACTTTATAGTCTGACCTCGTTGACTTGGACGTTACACTGTATCAGTCCACTCACTCATATCACTGTGCTGTATTTCTCACGTGTGTCAGTTAAGATACCGTGACCTGGTAACAGTTCAACCCTTGGCACCCTAATGCAAAGGCATACGTGTATACAAAGAAAACAATCCAATGGAATACAACGAAGTTTACATGCTAAAATCCTCTGCTAAAACTAAAGCTGTGCATAAAAAAGTTACATAGTGCATTATAGCATTAAAACTTAACTAATACAAGTTTCATAATTGTTGTAAAATAAATAAAGTTTATATTTCATATAACTAGACTAATACTAACATCATGTATGTGTTAATGTTAAAAACACATTCGACACCCAAAACCTTATTACTTTCACTTTGCTTTTACTTCTAAAAGGTTTTGTTTGGAGTAGAGTTTCTTGCAATCTGACTGTAAATGAATAATTACAGCTGTAAATAATTAAAGGAATATTTGTACTAGAAGGGAATTGCATTTTTACGTAATACTGGTTTACTTGTCAATAAAATAAGCCTGCAAATTCCCTTTAATTATACGTAACTTTTTTAATGAAATAAACTATTTTCGGAAGTAATTAAATTAAGTATTTTGAGATCGTTACCGGTTTAAAATGTTTCGTAATAAATTAATAATCAATCTGGACCAGAGCCTGTATTTATGAAACCGTTTTCATGCTCAAATTCTGTACTCAAGCCCAATCTCTTCTGCCGTTGTTACACAAAACAAATCCACTTTTTTTAATGATGTGGAAGAATTTTAGAGAGACTTGAAGCTGGATACCGGGGTTTTTAAATTTACATTTAAACTTTGGCCGTGTCACACTATTTAAGCGAGTTGCAAGAAAGTTGGTTAGAGCACAGAATCAATGCTTAACATGAGTAAGGGCCCTGGTCTTAATTTCCAATAAATGAAACAAGGTGAAAATTACAGATAGGCAGGACAACGTTTTGTGTGTAAGAATACTGACCACATGGCACATACAAAGATGTCCTTATAGTTAGCAAACAAAATGTGAACAAAATACAGCAACAGGTATCATTTTACAGGGTATTTTCATACATCTGACTAGTATGTATTGTCAAACGAAAAGTGTTTATACTAAACGAAACATGTTAAAAACTAAACTAAAAGTTTACATTTACACTAAACGCCTAAAAACTAACAAATAACTGCATTAAATATGCAGCCATAACAACAGTTAAGAAAACTACTTTACATGGGAATGGACTTAATAAACTTAATAACATGCTGCAATAATGAAATACTGACAGTTAACAATAAAACATGTTTTTTTTATAACTATCACAGTGTAAAGTAGTACTGACTCGATCTTATGATGACTATATGTAGTAAATAGCACTGATCAATAATACCATTCTTATAAAGTTGTCAAAGATTGCTACACCCAGTAAATAACATTACATAATGTTAAATATCGAACATCTATGATCCTTCAACATGGGTATATATATAATCACATCCTTAAACTCATTCACCCTTGAAGACACATTTGAACTCTTCCAATTCAAAGGTTGGAATAGTTCATTATGAAATTTCAGGGGTGAATGAGGACTTTATAGTACTGGTAAAGGTTGAAATTAGTCCCAACAATTATTTGTTCCCAAATTGTATTACAAAATACAGTAATTTGAAAACAATAGCATTACAAAAATAGTACTGATGTATGTTTTAAGTCAAATTTCGTAAACTTTTCACTCTTTTTGACCTTTCAAACACATATAGCACAGCCTTTGTCTGAATTGTTTACATATCCTGTTATAACACGTGTGTGCTGGGCTTTTTTTATCTTGAGGTCTTTGTTTTTTAACACTGAAGCAGGAAAATAATACCGTAAGAAATTGGCCCTGAAATCATTTAAAAGGCTACATTAACATAACAATGGTGACATTGACTGAATAATTACACATAGGTTTGAAAATTTGTAAAGAAATCATAAATGTTTATATTTAATAATACTAAGATTGCAAGCCCTCTCAAACGTCTTTTGATTTGAGGAAAAATTGGAGCTAAGAAAGGACAGTTATCACATACAGTTCTTTATCATTACAACAATAGATCATGATTACCTACTCGGTATGGTTGAAAACACACAATCCACTATTTGTGGGAGTCAAATATAGCATAGTACTTGTAATAAACAAAAGCAAAGGTAAACCTGTAATTCGATTTCTACAGTTACCAAAGTTTCACAATGTTAATACTGTTTACCGGAAAATGTTTTACTCTGATGAATTTTTGTCCTTTGACAGTAATAATGCTTTTTTGCCCATTTTCAAATTGGCTCTTCACATTTAATTACATGGGTTTTTTTTACAAATGTTGGCTGTAAGGAAATAAATTCGTCCTCTTTAAGGAGGGGAAAACAAGGCTAAAAATAAAATGCAAGGGAAATTTCTTGGTATACAGTAATATGCCCTACAGCTCCCGGAACTGTCAGTTGGGCACCTGCATTGATTAGCTACAAAACAATGGTAACTGTAACACACACAGGAACAATATCATTGTAAAACTCCTTTTAAGATGACTTGGGATATACTAATTTGTGTCTGTGATTAATTTTGTTTTGTATGCAACTCAAATTCGTTGTTATTTGGGGCTACCTTAGGGGAAACTTTAATAGCGTAAAATAGATCTAGGAAAACACTGTGTTCACTGCCCTGATGACATCAGTGTGGACCTCTTAATAAACAAAATATAGAGCAAAATACTTATATCAAAAAGAACCTTTACATTGACTATATGATCATTTTCATGATTTAGTATACAACCTAAGCCCTACGTACATACGTTATCCATCTGTTTAAAAACAAGATATATATTTAGAAAATCCCCTTTTCTGTTTAATGGAAAATGTATATATACACTAGACTTGTATGTCTTTTCGAAATTATTCCACCATGTAGACAATATTTATTCAACAACATGAATATAATACAGATGGCATTTAACCCAAACCTATAAAACCAGGTTACAGTGGCAGGTCTGTATACAACTCAGGTAGATATATACACATATAATGTGTAATCTAATCAGTATAGGCCCTGGTACCGGTACAGTACTCAATCTGTATAAAACTCTTCAGTAATTATATCTAAATTCTAAAGAAATCCACATATGTGTAACATAATCTATGTCTATAATATACAAACATGTAGGACAGAACAGGTTATCCCTTACTAACATTACCATGACAAAGCTTATACATGTATGTAGTACAACATCACATTAGGAACATAGAAATGTTGAGGTAACCAGCAAACTCATATAGAATATGGCGTAAACAAAATTCCTCACTGTCCCTAAAATCTCAAATCACTAATCCTGTTTTGGTCGATAGAAAATGCTTTAATCACTTTTGGCAATTCAAATGTGACAAACTCTTTGATAACAAAAATTGCACCAGTTGGTAAAAAATGCTCAATCAATCAATCTCTTATAATATTTGGTCAATAATATTTGTAATGGTCTATAACATATCTACTTAGAGTCTCTTTTATCTCTACAATATTAAATGAGATAATAAAAGGTTTTTGAATGTAGATATTGTTTTTTAAAAAAAAGCCTTAAAAACTTCATAATTTCATAATTTAAAAAATAGGCAGTACATGGTAGATTTGCATTGACATATATATGGGTGAATACGAGGATTAGTCGCATCAAAATCTAAAAGATAAGGAAGGGTAAAAAAAGGTTTTGACTTGAAAGTTTTAAAAAAAATCCTTAAGCAAGCAGCCAATTCTGGTTTTGTTTAGTCTCAACCTGGGTCCACTTAATTGACATTTATATAATTGTCATTAATAAAAATCATAAATGTAAAAAATGCCTTGATGATGAACACATATATATGTTACCTGTAAGTTAATAAAAATAGCATCAGTTGTCAAAACTGAATGCTTATTATGATCGTTGTACCTCAGTCTCTACAGCAGCAGTAAGTACAATTACTAAATGTTCGTGTGTTCCAATTCACATATAAGTATCAGTAGCTTATTCAAGTTTCAATTTTGCAAATCACTATTAGAGTAAAGAATAATATGTTATTGTATCGACTGATTGTGTTATGGCTTCACTTTCTAATCATTATCCTAATGTCAGTTAGTTAATTTAATCAATTACGTGTACATACATTGTACTCACCGAAAACAAGAACGATTCGACATCAATATTTTCTGCTTAACATTTTCAACATTAATCCCTAAAATACATTACTTTCTGGAGGTAATTTGATTGGTAAACTGTACTGTACTGTGCTGTTATTGGACCTGATATCATCATGATAAGTAAAAACAATGTGGTCCTAATTAATATAGGCACTCCTGGCAAGGAAATAAGGCATGCCCTTTTCTGTATACTGAGGACTGTAAACCATAGGGGAGACTATAAAGGTTTAGTCCAGTCCACTGTGGTCATGTAATATTAATGTTTTAGGTACAGCATAATGCTATGCCAAACCCTGGGATATTTAGTAATGCCTAGGTGTCAGCCTCTGAAACCTCCAATGAGGGAGATCTCCCTCATTCCACATTTCCAATGAGGAAGAAAGTGCGTGGAACACGACTGAAACTACTTTGCTCAAGTTATCTCCACCTTTTTATATATTGGAATCAAACCAAAAAGCATTCATTTGATTCAAACACACCTGTTATGATCATTACATACACCCTGCAGTAACTAGGAGATCATTTGATCACCACAGGTTGTAGATTTTGAGGTTGTGTGAGTTTGGACTTGAATGAAGGAGTTTTGGGGGGAGATTGGTAAATTTTGGTCAAAATGAGGGAGTCTCCCATCCAATGAGACAGGGTTGACAACTATGGCAATGTATATACAAAACAATATATATCTGTGATCCATGATGCCAAACTTTGCGATAGTTAACAATGCACATCATGTACATTACTGTTAAAGCTCCAGTAAAAACAGATATATTCTAAAATGTCAAACCATGGGATAGTTGACGTATACATACATGCAGTGTTTCAGGTACAACATTCAATGTATAAAAGACTTGCCGACACTCTTTTGGTTTATGTTGGATTTTTTTGCTGAAATGTCAGTGCATGTACCAATTATTCTGTTTCATTTCGTAAAACAGTGGTGTCATGGAAACTTCTTAAATAATGAAATAACAAGAATGTTGAATCTTCAATTATATCATACAGGTGGTTACTCTTAAGAAATTAAAAATATCTTTGGAAATGGGCCAATATAACACAAGCTCTGATTATATATTACTCTGTTGTTTTTAAATCCAGAACATTTCCATTAAAATGAGAACATTTTCATTTATAGAGCAAATCTGGGACTACACAAGTTTCGGGGATAATAAAACAGTAATATTCATTAAGTTTTTGGTTCCTGCACTTGCTCTAGGGACAGAAAATTACTTTTTCAGACAATGATTTCAAGAAAAGACGGTCAGTAAGCACTGAATGTTTAACTCACAAAATAAAATATGATTTATAAACCAAAATAAAACCTTCAAGACCTTATGATGTCGTTTTCGGCCTTTTTCGATGATGACCAGGCACAAGCTCCGCTGTCCCATCACAGTTTGACATTTCTCAACTATGTCAGGTTTCTTGATGATGGATCCAGTCATTGTTGGAACTCTCCTAAAAAATACAGGAAAAAATTGTTGTAAAATTAATTATATATCAGACATTTAAAATTTGTATTTATCGCTAATTCCATGTGGTAAGGATCGACACACATTAAATAACACCGAGCGGATCTGTGATTGGATTATATGTTCCCATTGTTTTGTACATGTAATGTGACAATTTCATAGCATCACTGCCAACTTCTAGCAATGTGACATCACAAATAAGAAAGGCTTGGAGTTGAAAAGTTGACATTTTAGATGTAAGNCCCCCCCCCAACCATTGCTTAAATTTGAATATTGAGTTTACATTGATATTCTCACCTTAAACTTTACTGATACTTTTTGATGAATTTTGTATGAAACTCCTTAAAAAGACCAAGCACATCCTTAATTTCTCCCTCTGGTGGCAAGATGGTCATGCGGAGGTGATAGGTGCCTTCCTTTTCACCGAAACCACTTCCTGGCACTGTACAGATACCCGTCTCCTCTAGGAGCTGGAAACAGTAGAAGGAGTCCGGAGTCTGGCCTCTGCGTTTGGCCTCCTCAACAGCTTTGTCAGGGAGGAAAATCCTAGGGAAGGAGTACATTGCTCCCTGGACCTCATTGCATTTGATTCCTTCAATAGAGTTGAACAAATCTGTGACCATCCTGGCTTTTCTAGCAAGACCTGCTAAAACTTCTTCCTTCTCTTTGGCATAGAGAGCTCCAGATGGCTCATCTAAAGTCGGGAAATTACTAACAACGCTCATCACAGCCTGGCCTAGAATAGGTGGACAAAGTTTGGCAGAAATGGATTTCAGGAGGCAAGCTTTCACATCGGGTAACATGTTGATCACTTCAAAGTAGCCACCTCTGAAGCCACACTCACCCAGATATCCCTTGGAGGCAGACATGAAGGATGCCAGCTCCACTTTGTTGTATAGCGGCCCCATCTCTGTCAACACTTTCTTAAAGGAGAAGAACGCTGATCCCTTGGCATAGATGTTATGCTGGTAGACTTCATCGGCAAGTATCATCAGATGGTTATCCGAAGCAAATCGTATGACGTCCTGAATATTTTCTTTGGTCAATACCTGGCCCGTGGGATTTCCAGGGTTAATGACACAGATGGCACGAGGTACACACTCACCCCTGCAGGAATTCAGAGCCCTTTTCAGTTCATCAAGGTCAAGCGACCAGTTGTTTTCTTCATTCAGATAGTAACGTATTTGGAAAGCATTGTACTCGGTCAGTGTTGCCGAGTACAGAGGATACTGCGGTACTGGAATCATGATACCAGCACGTTCTTTACCATCTTTTCCAGTCATCAACATCGACAAAATAGTTTTGATACCATCGCTGGCTCCAGTGCAAAGAATCACATCCTCCGCTTTACTAGGGATGCCATCCCGTTTGCTAATGTAGTTTGCAATGTCCTCCCGGATAGGATCTACACCAGCACTGGCACTGTAAGACCCCACACTTCCACCGCGACATCCTCCGAGGATTCTACGGGCACGGCTTTTAGCATCTTTTGGAAACTCTGAAGACTCAAGCAATGGAGGATAAGAACAGAGAGCAATGACTTGGCGTAAAAACGTGTTTGGACTCTGACCAGTAGCGTGGCAGTCACCAATGTTAGCCTTCATCACCTTAGTGAATGGTTTCTTGGTACCATTTTTCAGTTCTTTCTCTATCTCTGTTGCCCTGACAACGATTGGGCCTCTCACGGCATACTGCATCTCGCGGACGCGTGGATTGACTGTGTCCATAGTGAGGACCGGTAAATGGTGACCGTTGGTCCCATTGACTTCACTGTCACCCTGCATGTTCCAACTTTATATAACACTGACAATTATTGATGAGATATCTGCTGGGAATTTTGTCCTTTTCTGAAATTATATAAGGCAAAAGGAGCTAATTACAATATCTATTTAACAAAAAGTAGTGCAGGGATAATCCTGGAGGGGGCCATGGGGCCATTGACCCCTTCCTGTTCCAATTTTCTTTTAATTTTACATAGAATGGCCCCTCCTAATTTTGATAGTGACTAAAAATTGCTGAAAATGGCCCATTGCTCTCAAATTCCAGTATTTTCCCTTTGTTGTCTTCAAAGGACAGGTATCAGCCTAGCAATTGGTCAGGTTATTTTACCTGAGACCAATCAAACACCTGTCTTTGTGCCTTCAATTTTGCTATGACATGTTTCAGGGGTGCAAAGAGCGAAAGTGAGCGTAACCCCTGGAGTACCAAGGATGAAGTCATGTATTTGAACAAGTTTGTTAGTCTTAGCACTTCATTTTTACATGTGTGACTTGTAACCTTGAACCTTGGGTTAGGATTTAGGGGTTCTTTTTAGGGTCAAGTTAATTATAAATGAACAGGTTATGATTTAGGGTCTGGGTTAAACGTTAGTTTTATAAGGTAAGTTCTTTTTAATGGTTTATTATGAGCCAAATTTTAGTTTTAGGTTTTCTGAGCTAAGCCTTAGTTGTTTTTCCAACTTATTTAAGATTGGGAAACATTTTTCAGGTGATGGTAGCTTTTGAGGCTATATGGTGACAGGGATAGTATAATAGAGCTGATGGTGCTTAGTGGTGGCAAATGAACTTATAAATTTTGGGCAATATTGAGAAAAAAAAACAATGGGGCAAATAATATTATTATAATTTTACTATATTTGCAATTACCTGCACAATTTATATCTTTACCAATGACTAACTGCTTCCAAACAGATTAACTATTGGGAAGATCTAACTAAGTATGAACTTAAATGCCACAGAAGAGACTTTTTACGTAAAACATTAAACATCTGTTGTAATTAATGTGTTATTTAATTGTTGAGTCCAATGAAGACTAGATAATTGGCTAATCTTGTACTGGAAGTGAACTGATAGAGAGAACACATCGTCCTTCACTGAACTGAACACACAAATTAATGTGAATTTAATAGAATAGTCTATATTGTCACATTATCTGATTGACGACACCAATGCCGAGCCTAAAAAGGCTAAAATCGTCTCGTGTGGGAAATTAAAAGTAATCGGAGGAGTTGTACTATAAATGATCTTGGTATATATCAGTAGTAGTAACCGAGAATGTCATTGTCATTTCTGCTAGGCAGCATGGCCAATATACGTACTAGAACAGGATAAAGCTGACATAACGAACCATGTCAGGCATGTGATTCGTGATCAGCTGGTTACATTATCAATCTCTGATGACATGGATGCAGACATGCGTGTTCATAACGAAGTGTTGACCTTTGAAAAAGGTAAAGCCACATTATTAAATATATTAAACAGTTTGTACATAACTCGTGTATAACCTACCGTGTCAGTTTGCAGTTTTCCTTCTTATCTGTTGGGTCAAGGTCTCGGGCTCATAATATCAACGTATTTCTTCATTTTCCCGCAATAGAAACATCCGAGAGGTTCCGATATTCCGCTAATTTGACAGTTTTTCAATTGAGAGTTACTTCCCTTGCCCAGCAGGTGAGTGGCGGCCCCATCGAAGACACAAATCAGGCTAGGTAGATATAGATTTTTTTGGTAGCTTTCTGTTCGTGTTAAACAATGAATTTACATTTCAGGAAAGTGTTTCTTCAGCAATTCTTATTTTGATAACTACAGTACGCCACAGGCTCTTGAATATGACACCAAAAGTATAACCTTGCAATGTAAATAAAATAATATCATATTGTTGTTGTTGAACGTTGATCGGAAGCTTGTGAAGACGTCTAAATATCATCTTCTGACTTGATACGTTGCTAGCAGACTAGCCTGCCATCAACGGACTGCGGTTGCGTTGGGATTAAAACTATTTACTGCAGTGTATCAAGCTTTTACACTATATTTTATTGTGAATACTTTTTTATTATAATAATAATTTATGTATGATTTAAAATATTTATATATATATATACCCTCAGCATATTATAGGTATCTTTTTTGTATTACTTATATTTTATTTATTAATGACAGAACTTCAGGCTCCTGTGGTTAACTTTGACTTGAACTCGTTAAGTGTTTTTGACGACACAGTTTCCTCGGGTAGACTGTTCCAGACCTTGATCACTCGGTTACTAAAGACATTCTTACTAGTGTAAAGCCTGAAAGGTTTCTTGAATATTTGTTTAGAGTGCCCTCTAGTGATACTAAGTGATGTAGGACAAAACATCAGCCCGTAGTCTAACTGGTCGATCCCGTTCAATAAATTTATACAACTCAACCACATCTGCCCACTCACGCCTGTATTCCAGAGATCATGTAGACCTAATGTTCTTAGGCGTTCATGGTAGGGCATATTCTGTATTTCTAGTACTCTTTTAGTGGCTCTTCGTTGGACATTTTCGATAGCTATTTTGTCCTTGTTTAGGTATGGTGACCAGACTTGCATAGCGTACGTATTCCAGATGTGGACGCCCCCGATAAGGGACTTGTATGTAGGGTTGTAAAAAGAGCTATGTCCATAAAAATGAAAGTTTGAAACAGCTACCTAACATTTGGTTAGCTTTCGACACTGCCGCATTGACTTGGGTTGAGAATTTTCGGGTGTTGTCAAAGTGAACTCCAAGATCCTTTGCTGTGGCTACTTTCTCTATTTCGGTTGTTTGTCCATCTTGCGTCAAATAGTATTTTGATGATTTGGGGTTGTTACTAATCTCCATATGTACGCACTTCTTGGTGTTTAGCTTCATGTGCTAGCTGCCGGTCCAGTTACTTATTTTGTTGATGTTTATTTGGAGTTGTTGTCTTTCTAATTCTGTTCTAGTTTTTCAATCGAGTTTGGTATCGTCCGCAAATAATTTGGTTATACAGCTGAGAAGTTCAGGCATTTCATTGACGACAAGATCAAGAATAGTATCGGGCCAAGGACACTTCCCTGGGGAACTCCACTTGTGACTGAAAGAAATTGAGGATTTTGCTCCGTTGATTGTAACTCGTTGGGTCATGTCTTTTAGAAACTCAGTAGTCCAAGCCAAAATTTTAGAATATTTATATAGTTTGTATAATAGCAAACGGTGTGACACTTTGTCAAAAGCTTTGCTGAAGAATAATGTAATTGAAGACTGCAGGTAAAATTTTGTCAATATTATATTATATTACCTATCTCCAAATGAATTGAACTGAATTGAACCTAGGTACAAATACAACATATCCTCAATTGAATTGAACCTATGTATAGATCTAGCTACATCCAATAGATGTCAAAATGTCTAAGTTTGGTGTTAGGTCCAGAGGAAACTTGGGCTATCTCCAATTGAATTGAATCTATTTTTAATTAAATTGTACCTATCTTCAATTATTTGAAGATAGGTTCAATTAATTGAATAGAATATGGAACACCAAATTAACATATATATACATATAATATATTCAAATAATTAAAGATACTCAGGTTCAATTCAATTGAAGATAGGTTTAATTCGTCATATATGATTTTTAACCTATCTATAATTGAATTGAACCTATATTCAATTGAATTACACCTATGACTTCAATTGAATTGTACCTATTGTACCATTATTTAAAGATATGTGCAATTATTTAAATATAAGCTAATTTGGTGTTCCACTGATATGACAGCACACATAAACATATCAGTATAGCATAATTTGTATAGAGACCAAGGGTGCCTAGGCCTAACATATTCTACTGCAATTTTGAATTATAGACTAATAGAGGTGATTGAATATAATCGGGTTTGGAATTCAGTCATGTTTGAATGCAATTCATGATGACATCTTTCATTACTTTCACTTAAATTTCCTATGAACAACTGAAAGAAAAACAGGGGAAGGCTGCATATATGAGACAATCAGGAAAATGTCTAGGGAAAGCCCAACCTCATGAACCTCAGACAAATTACAAGGAACAATGTTAATGTCTTCATATACCTCAGTTCTTGTAGGTGGAAATATCGTCTGACTTTTGACAATGCACTGAAACTTTAACACAACTTCTCGAGTCACAAGAAACATCAGTTGAACTTGAAAACTTTTCTGTACATTAATATTGTAAAAAACAAAACAATCACCAAGGTGCAACATGATAAACCATACACCACACAATGTAATCTGACGATCTGTCACCACAGTTAAATCATGAACAGGTGATGAGTGAATATATTTATAGTACATAATTGCATGACAACGTATTTATAACCCCTCCTCCACATCGGGTAATTTTCCTTTAGCTCGGCAGTAGAGTCTGACTAGAAATTTTGGGATCACGTTTTTGATTCCCATCCTCAATACCCAAAGGGTTATGCTCACTTTTGCTCTCTGCACGCATGGAATATATAATGACAAAATTGAAAGATCAGTGTGCACCACCCTGTAGATGAGAAAGGAAGACGGGTTTGATCCTTATGTCGCAAAAGGGTAAAATTAAAATTGACTAGCCTTTGAAGTCTGGAGTCGCTCCTCTGTACTCTTCAAAGGACATGTATAAGCCTAGTGATTGGTCAGGTTATTTTACCTGACACCAATCAAATAGCTAGCCATGTGCCTTCAATTTTGCTATAACATATTCCAGTGGTGCATGCAGAGAGCGAAAGTCAGCATATACGTAACCCCTGGGGTATCGAGGATGTTGATGCCCAGCAAACGTGTGAGCTTTTAACTACTTCCATCCTATTACAATTGGACATCATTTTTAATGAGAATTGATGCTTTATCCTTTCTGTTTTAGACCCTGAGCGATGGCGGGGGTTACTGTAGAAGATTGGCAGTCAAACAAGAGTACACTGGCCTGTAACCGATACATGTTGACAAATCAGATTGCTTGTGATGTACACTTCCTTGTCGGAGAGGATCGTGTACGCATTCCTGTTCACAAGTATGTCCTGATCAGTAGGAGCTGTGTGTTCTACTCTATGTTCTGTGGACCACTTGCTGAGACAAGCTCTGATATTGCTCTGCCTGATATAGAACCAGAGATATTCAGAGCTCTTTTAATGTAAGTTTGAGAATTAATGAAGTTTGAGAATTAATTTAATGGAAAAAAATTCTAAAGATTCTGCATCATTTTAAAATTATTAAAAAATGTTACCTGTTCTTATTTAGTGTGACTTATTGCATGTACATTTATGATATTAACAGAAAACTCATAAAAATTCTTGATTATGTGTTAATTTCATCCCATATATTGTTTGGTATCCTATGTATGAATAATTGTGAATAGTTAATCTTGATCATTACCATGATATTTATTTATAATAATAGTAATATACAACATTTATATAGCGCCCTATATATAATTTGTAAAATTACTCTAAAGCACTTTACAACATAGTATTAGTTATAATTGTGAAACAAAATCAAAGGCTTACAATCACTTATATACACTCATGCTTTTACTGTTCTGCTGTTCAAATGATTGATCAGGTTTGTGGAAATTACAAAAATCTTTCATCTAGCACTTTTAAAACTACCAAAACTAATCGAATGAATAAAATGTACTTAAGTGTTTAAAAATCAATATCTGAAAGATAGCAAAAGAAAATAAACACTAAATATAAGTTTTTTAAATACTGTACCCGGTCATTCCAAATTATACTGGTTCTTAAAATTCTAGGTAAAGTCTCAAATACATTTTGAGGATTTAAACTTTACAAATTCCTATTTTTTGCTTGTGTTTTTGTTTTCTTAGGTTTCTGTACTGTGAGGAATTAGACATACAGCCATATATGGTCTTACCTCTGTTGTATGCAGCCAAGAAATACTCCATCCAATCCCTAGTTAGAAAATGTATACAATATCTAGAGCTAGATCAGTCATCAGAGAATATATGTGCCATCCTGGAGCAGGCTCACATGTACGACGAGAAGGACCTGGAAAGGAAGTGTATGGACTACATTTGTAGTCATGCCAAGGATGTCATACAGTCAGAGGACTTCCTGGAACTCAGTCCCACCTCTCTGATGTGTATCCTCATATCTGACGAGATACAGGTAGATGAAAAGACTGTTCTTAATTGTGCTGAGAAGTGGGCAACTAGGGAATGTGAGAGAAAGGACTGGGAGGTGTCCCCAGCCAACATAAGAAAGGCCCTGGGACCCCTCCTGTACCAGATCAGATTTCCTCTGTTAGGAGAGAAATACTTCACCGACATAGTCGCTGACATGGAAATCTTAAACGATACAGAAAAAGTGGAATTGTTCAAATTCTTTTATAAGACTGGATCAAAGGTTGAAACTTTTCTCACACGTAACAGATTTGTAAATAACACTTCTTCAGGCAGTGATTCGTTCCATAGTGACTCGGACACACGTCCGATACAGACCTGTATGAGGTATCGGACGGTGTACGAGGATGGGTCTTGGTATTGTGGTGGGGAGCCTGACGCTGTCGCTTTCACATGTAACAGAACAATACAGTTAAACGGTGTACTGGTTTATGGATCTTATATTGGTGAAGGTGTGTACGATGTCACCTGTTCAGTGTATGACAATACTGAGAAGGAGATTGTGTCACGTCGAACTTCACTAAAGACGAGTGAAAGTCAACACACATATCCCGTCCTGTTGGAGGTCCCCATTGAAATACCCAAGGGCAAAAAACATATTCTGGTTGTTAAACTCATCAGTTCCGAGGGACTTGACACTTACCAGGGAAAGAATGGCATGTCGTCGGTGTCTGTGGGTTCTGTACAATTCAGCTTCATTAAGTCGAAATACAGCAGGAATGGAACGGATGTAAAGATTGGACAAATTCCTGGCCTCTTGTTCACATGTAACGAGGAAGATGTTGAAGAATTTTGAGAAGCAAAGCATTTCCTAGAGCTGCAGCATGTACACAACACTAAAATAATGCTGCTGTCTATTCCGATTGATGTGTGTTCATTATCTACAAACTGGCTTTCATTGTGGCTGATCATGAATAATTTCAGCTTTAGATTTCACATTCATATTCTTTTCTGATTGATGTTTGTTTATGATCTACAACAGGGCTCATCAATAAGAGTAGCCCGATTGTCAGACCAGTAAAACCTCCAGCAGAGATCAAGTGGTCCAAAAAACTGCAAGCCCAATTGACCTGTCAAAATTTATTGTTACTTAACATGATGAGTACCAGTAATATTGGGTTAGTTGAATTTGAGCAAGGAGTAGTAAAATAGGAATATACTAGCCCAACTGAATGGGTTTTTTTAAAAATTAATTTCCTATCGCTACAACCTTGTTTTCATTGTGGCTGATCATGGGTAATTTCAGTTTTAGATTTCTCATCCGTTTGATATTTAGTGAAGTAAACACAAGTCATGATTCTTTAGGCTTTCATTATATATAATCTTCCCCTGGAAATTTATTAATCAAAAGTATTAATTTTATTTTATAACAACTTGTTAATTATCGGTATGTTTCTTTTTCATGACTTGAATATAATTAATGGAATCATATTTCTGCTTTTAGCATAAAATTTTGATTCTACATAATCAAATATTTTTCTAAACTTTCTAAGTGACTAGCTAGAGAACCCATTAGATAGCTATCTGTTATTCAAATGTTGTCTTTATGGAAAAGTATTGAAATATTTGATGTATAGGCTTAAAATTAAATGACTCTGGATTCCTGTTAATAACAGCTTATATTAATGAAAGCCCAATAGAATGTACATTATTAATGATTTTTGGTTGGTTTTAGTTTTTAAGTATTGAAGAACATTTGATATCTTGTCAATTTACCAATACATGTACTACATGAACCTTGGTACATAACGCCATCAACATAGAGGGTACATGTGTTTTAGCTGGTTCTGGTTGGCCAAAATCATTTTTGATTACGATGGCAAATGAAAAAAAATAAATACCACTAAATGACAGATGTCTCGTTGAATTGAATCTGAAGCCAACTTTCAGAATTAATTGGTAAGTGTTTACCTATATCAAATGTAAAGTCATTTCAGATACACAATAGCAGATCTTTCGTGCTTCCTCTAGTAAAGTTCAAATTGTCAATGCAGAAAAATATAATTTAATAGCTGAGGCAGTGGAAACATGAGTGTTGACATGTTTTTTTTAGTCACTTATAACCATTGGTTGGTTCCCTCATCCCTTGCTTGGATACCACCTGGCATGGTATGAAGTACAATTGTGATTGTGAGAAATAGGGAAATATTAAGTATTTAAAAATCCATCGAAATAAGCTCAGGATGAGTTGGGTTTTATTTATTGTCTCGCCGCTACAAAGTAACTGAAGCAAGACTAAGGTGTTGCTTTTCTGGCGACTGCTTCAACATTAAGTTTTTGCATTTAAGTTAGTTTCACTAAAAGTATATATATGTGCTAGACTAATCAAATTTGAACCATGCATGCTCATAGGTAGTACATCTCAACCCATGCATCAAATGCTGGATGCGGCCTACCTTTTATGGTCCATTGACTTTGTCAGCATGCCTATCAACATGAATTTTTGCCTTTATGTTAGTTTCAGAGCAACCAAACTTGACATGTGCATTAATGGTCAAAGCGCGATACAGGCGAAACATACATTTGGAAGATAAAAAAAAGAACTCATCTCGAACCCGTTGCAATTGACTTTTTTTGCTAAAAATATTTCTATTTGTATTGACTATAGAAATATAGTTACTTTTATTTACCTTGAACAAAATTTGAAAGTATATATATATATGATGTTAACTATAAAATCTTCTGATATTTGTTGAAACTGATGTTAAAATATATACATGATTATTGAAATTTACCTCTTGTCAAAATATAATGAATTAATTTAATTGAGTCTGCTTAAATTTCTATTGGCATTTTATTGTACAAGTTAGTTCTGATTTATTTATTCATATGACTCGCCTATGTACCTATAGTGACAGTCCGACAGCATTGATTATCATTAATGAACTTGTATGTAACCGGTGTAGCGGTAGTGTTGTAATGTTTATAGTGCAGATATATACAAATTTGGTGTCACATATGTACATATGTCTTCACCTTGCATAGAACATATGTTACCTGTATAAATTAGTTAACAGGAAAATGTATATGTAATTTGAAAAGTACAATATAATGAATTGCCTATCAGCAAAATTTATAATTATTCAAAACAGTATACAATTACACTTGAACAATAAAATTAAATAAAAGAGTTCATGGAGTAGTTTTTTAAAGGAGGTAAATTGTAAGAAACACAAAGAACTATCTCCAAAATGTATGATTAACGCTGGCGAAAGAGAATACATGTATATCAGTTGATGTACTTGAATAAAGAAATTATCTAAATCTATAATGTATCATTGAACTTTGGAAAGAAAATGTTTAGAAATATCTGAACAAATTTTGGAAAAAAAATATTATATTTAAGATATATATGTAAACATTTTGTATATTCTAACAAACATCAAATAGAATATTGTGTACTTCAAGCAATGTTAAAAGTATAATATATATATATGCATTTATTACTAATACTGCATACAACGTTTAGAATGGTTGTTTTCATGTAATGAAATATTTGTCCATTTTGAAAAAAGAAGTATTACATTGCTCATTTTTAGCCCACCATCAGATGATGGTGGGCTATTCAAATCACCCTGCGTCCGTGGTCCTTCTGTCGTCTGTCCTTAAACAATTATTGTCATCGCTATTTCTCAGGAAGTACCAGAGGGATCTTTCTCAAATTTTAAATGTAGGTTCCCTTTGGTCCCTTGTTGTGCATATTTACTTTTGAGACTGATCAGATAAACAAAATGGCCGACAGGCAGCCATCTTGGAATTTGAAAGTGAAGGTTTGTTTTCGCTATTCCTCAATAAGTGCTGAAGAGATCTTTCTCAATTTTGACATGTAGGTTCCTTAGTGTGTAGTTGTGCATGTTTAATTTTGAAACTAATCGGATAAACAAAATAGCCGACAGGCCACCATCTTGAATTGTGACATTAAAGGTTTCTAATCGCTATTTCTCCGGAAGTACCAGAGGGATCTTTCCCAAATTTGATATGTAGGTTTCCTTGGTCTGTTGTTGTTCATGTTTAATTTTGAGACTGATGAGATTAATAAAATGGCCGACATGCAGCCATCTTGGATATTGACAGTGAAGGTTTGTAATCGCTATTTCTCAATAAGAACTGGAGAGATCTTTCTCATTTGTAGTTGTGCATATTTTCTTAATAGACTGATCGGATAAGCTAGTGCTATTTCACAGGAAGTACTGGAGAATTCTTTTATCAAATTTGATATGTAGGTTCCCCTTAATCCTTAGTTGTGCATGTTTTATTTTGAGACTGATCATAAAAACAAAATGACTGAAGGTAGAACTTAACAGATCTTTCTCATATTGCAATGATCGGTTCTATTTCTTTCACATTAAGTACTGTACTAGTAAATATGTGAAATGACAAACTCACTTTGAAGGTTGTCTTTTATACACAGCAATATTAAGATTAGGTCAAAAGTTACCTCAAGGTGCATTTTCTGTTAACATGATTCGTTTAAACGAATAAGAGAAAAGAAGAGAAAAGATCAAACTGACAAAGAACTAATGAAGATGGTACAATGGTTGGCGACAAGATCCCTCTGGGATCTCTTGTAGTACAGTAGATTTCTCTTAATATCACTTCCCATTTGTCAGAGAAAAACATGATATTAACAGAACCATGACATCAACAGAATACATATTTTCTGATGTTTTTCAGCCCTCAAAACCGGAAGTGAACTTAGTCAAATGCCTAAGTGATGTGGCTATACGAAGAAGATTGATATTTTGTAACTAACCTTGTTCTTTACCCTAGTTGAAATATAGATATAAGTAAATAAGTAGAAATAAATATATTATTTGTATTTCATTTCAGTAAGCAGTTATACATTTCATATAGTTAGTAGCAAAATGACGATTAGTACGATTGTAATTAATATGATTGTTTACTGCAGTAGTGATGTAGGCATACATGTGTTTGGCTGGTATTCTGCCTCAAATTCAATTGTAAACATGAGACTTGGTAAATATTTACCTATATCTTGATATATATACTTTCTTTCGCTAGTAACATCTTTTTATAGGTTAATTTCCTTAGATATTTGCTGCAAGTGTGTAATCGAAGATAGTACACATGTTATAATTAGTTGAAAGAATACATCACACTTGGCATTAGAAAAGTTTACAGATGTTAGACTGTCCTAGCTCCCCCAACCACAGGTGAATATCATGTTAACAAGTATGTAAGTCAACCTATTGTTTAACAGTCAGCCAGGTGTAACCTATTGTTTGACAGTCAGCCAGGTGTAAAAAATACCCTGTTAGG